ATTAAGAAAGGGTGCTGGATTTTGTCAAAGGCCTTTTCTGCATCGATACTCTTATGTGGATCCTGAGAAACTTGACAGGAACCCATGGGGGAGGGGAAGGAAAAAAAAAAAAAAAGAGGTTAGAGTGGGAGAGAGCCAAAGCATAAGAGACTGTTGAGAACTGAGAGCAAACTGAGGGTTGATGGGGGGTGGGAGGGAGGAGAGGGTGGGTGATGGGTATTGAGGAGGGCACCTTTTGGGATGAGCACTGGGTGTTGTATGGAAACCAATTTGACAATAAATTTCATATATAAATAAAAAAAAAATAAAGCAATAGGCAAAAAAAAAAAAAAAAAAAAAAAACTCTGGATATTTATAACAGCATGCCAGCATGTCATGGAGGAATGTGGAACTAGTATAACAGACTGTCCCTTCAGCCTTCTATATGACTTGGTAGAGGCCCAGGACTCAGAGCCCATCTAGGGTCACATTCTACTGTTTAGTTCAGAGCATTCAGATTTAGGACTCTAAAGGAAGGATTAAAATGATGCAGAATTAACTCATTTTGTGCCAAGAAAGACATCATGCTCAGGATTTTACATTAATACTAATGTGATGCTCACCAGGGACAGCTAAGCTGTTGCATTAATTCATTAATATGTTGTCATAAGAAGAAGAAAAAAGGAGAGACAAATAAAAGAAACTGAAAGCCAAGTTCTAAAAACAATCTAATGAAATGGAATAGCCATGCTCTTACTTGAACTATTTCTATACCTATTTTCTTTTTTTTTTTTAATTTTTTTTTCAACGTTTATTTATTTTTGCGACAGAGAGAAACAGAGCATGAACGGGGGAGGGGCAGAGAGAGAGGGAGACACAGAATCGGAAACAGGCTCCAGGCTCTGAGCCATCAACCCAGAGCCTGACGCGGGGCTCAACTCCCGGACCGCGAGATCGTGACCTGGCTGAAGTCGGACGCTTAACCGACTGCGCCACCCAGGCGCCCCTCTATACCTATTTTCTATTTGAACTTTTAAGGCTTTAGCTTTTACATTTATGTCTGTGATCCACTTATGAGTTAGTTTTTAGGTAAACTTGGAAGTGTGGATTGATGTTCATTTTTCCTGCATATGAATGTCCAATTTGTTCCAGAACCATTTGTGAAAAAAAAACAAAACAATTCTTTCCCCACTGAACTGGCTTTCCACCTTTGTTTGTTAAAAATCATTTGTTCATCTATGTGGAGGTCTATATCCAGACTCTACTTTGTCCCATTTACCTATTTACTTTTAGTGATGCTAATACCACACTGTCTTGACTATTGTAGCTTTATAATAAATCTTGGAATTAGGTAGCACTAGACCTCCCAATTTGTTCTTCCCATTAAGAGTTATTTTTGGACATTCTGGACACTTGAGTTTCCAAATAAATTTTAGAATCAATCTGTCAATTTCTACCAAAAAACAACAAACCTGCTATGGTTTTGATAGGGATTGTATAAATCTGTAGATCAATCTGGGAAGAATTGATATGTTAACAATATTGGGTCTTCTGATCCATCAACAAAGTATCTCTTTCCATTTAATTAGATCTTTAATTACTCTATAATATTTTATAGTTTTCAGTATAAAGGTGTTGCATATGTTTGGTCAGATTTACCCTAAAGTATTTTATATATCAATGCTAATTTCCAATTGTATACTGATAGAATATAGAAAACCACTAATTTTTCTATATTGTTCTTTTATTGCACACTTGTCAAATTTATTATTTCTAGAAGCTTTTTTACAGATTCTTTCAGACTGTCTACATGGACAGTCGTGTCATCTGTAAGTAAAGACTTTCAATTCTTCCTTTCTGATATGGATGGTTTGTATTTCTTTTCTTATCTTATTGTATCAGCTAGAGCCCCCACTAAAATTTTACATTGAAGTGGTGAGAATGGACATCTTTGTCGTGTTTCTGATCTAAGGAAGAGGCATTCACATCTAAGTATTATGCTATCTGTAGTGTTTTCAGAAATGCTCTTTATTGGACTTATGAAGCTCTCTTATTTTCTAGTTTATTGAGAGATTTTTAAGCAGTAATGGATATTGGATTTTGCCAAATATTTTTCTGCATCTCAATAGATGAACTTTATTACTTAGTTTGTTATTATTTTAATTTTTATATGAACTTTATCATTTAGTTTGTTAGTAAATTACACTGATTGGTTTTTCAAATATCATACCAATCTTCCAGTCCTAGGATAAATTCCACTTGGTTATGATATATTATCCATGTTACATATTATTAAATTGGATATGATAATTTTTTTAAAATTACGTTTAAAAATTAAAAATCAAAAATCTATGTTCATAAAACATTTGTTAATACTTTTCTTATATTGGTTTTGTCCACTTTAGGTGTCAGGGTCTCGTAGAATGAGTTGGAAAGTATTCTCTCCTCTTTAATTTACTGTGAAGCTTTATGTAGAATTGGTATTATAGCATTATCTCTTCCTTAAGTATTTGGAGAATTCACCAAAAAAGACATCTTAACCTTGGCCTCTCCAGACTCTCAGTTCTGTCTCCTGAACTCAGGCAGTCTGATGAGCTCCACATGGGTTTTTCCCTCTCTGTACTGCATCCTGGAAACTCTCTCAAGGCAGTGAACTGGGGCAATGATAGGGTTCACCTCATTTGCTTCCCAATTCTCAAAAAACACTGTAATTTTTTTGTCTGATGCCCTGTATCTTATTACCATTATCTGGTTTTGCTTTGCTTTGGGTTTTGTTTTTTGAATTTTCATTAATTTTCTTTTTGGATATCTCAAGCTTCAGGGTAAATCCCTGTTACTCTATCTTGGCAGAGCAGAAGCTGTGTATCTTTTTTCATCCATGTGTATCTACATACAAACATTCTGGGAAACTAGATGCACCAAATCATTAAGAGGATTTATCTCTGAATGGTGAGATTATGACAATTTTTAAAACTTGTGTGTATGATATACATTTTCTACAATAAATGTATTACTGCAAAATAAAAATAAAACAGTATCTTTCTCTAAAAATAGTTCTGTTCAGGGGCACCTGGGTGGTTGAGTGATCAGTTTCAGCTCAGGGCATGATCTCATGGTCCACGAGTTCAAGGCCTTGCATCAGGGTGTATGCTGACAGCTCAGAGCCTGGAGCCTGCTTCAGATTCTGTGTCTCCCTCTCTCTTTGCCCTTCCCCCACTCATGCTCTGTCTCTCTCAAAAATGAATAAATGTTTTTAAAAAATTAAAAATACTTCTCTTCAAGGTGTATGATGCCTATCTTGGGTGATAGGTGCCCCTAGAACAGATCACAAGGCTCTGCCACCTTCTGATGTGTTCTGGGATAACATGATACTGGGCATACTGCTCAGTTCACACAGGAAGCCTGGTGAAGTGTTGCCAGTTGGTTTCCCAGGGTAACTAGGGAGCATTAAAGTTTAGACAAAGCACCTAAGTCATACCCTGGATCTCAATACCTTAGAACCATGCTCAAAGGCTTAAATATTTTTATAGAAGACAGCACAAACATACACAAATATACTGGCACACTTCATAGACACACATAAACATATCATCTAAAATAAATGATACCAATTTGGAAACATTTTTGCTGACACTTCACAGAAGAGCTACTGAGAAAATTCTAATGACCAAAGAATGATAAATGAAACCTATATAATTTCAAACTCTTTAAGATGTATAAAATACTGTTTTCACTCTCTAATACTTTTTTACTTTAGCATACAAAGAAATTATATGTTAATATTTATAAGAGCTTTCCAAAAATTTCTAAAGACCTTCATTTTATGACCCTTTAAAAAATATTTAAGTTCTTCATCAGTGAGTTCATCCACCACAATTGAAAATGTGAGGGACAGATTATTTTATTTTTAACATTAGTTGGAAGAAACCTCAGTTCCCATTAATATAATGCAAACATCATCTCCTACACCTAAGTACATCATGTTATCCATCCTTTTCTTAATAATTTATCAGAATGGAAATGAATCAATTCAAACCACTTCACTCTACACTGGAGGATTGGTCACCTAATCTCCCCTCTCAAGATAACCAATAACACTTAATATGAAGAAGTGACATAGAAGAGCTTAATTTCTAATAAAGTCTTCCACATTGGGTAGAATGCCAAATGGGCAGGTAAGTTGGGACCTATATTTATTGAAAGCAACCCTATTACACTGTACATACCATCTTCCTCAACTCCTGGTTGGAAACAATAATGACGTTTGGTGGGTCCCCAATGGCAGTGGCAGCTCCTCCAATATTTGTGAAGATCACTTCTGCAATCAGGACTTGTCTTGGATCAAGGTTGAGCACCTCACACAATCTGTCACAAATGGAGGAAAATAAAAGTAGCCATGCTCTTCAATTGTACAGTCTAAATATTTTTAATGCACTTGTTTGTATAAGGGAGGCACACCACACACACACACACACACACACACACACACACACACACACACACACCTATAAGAAGTGCAATGCTGGAGGATGAACAAAGACAATGTTTACAAAGCTACAGTTGACCCTCAGAATTGCATTTCTTTGAAATTCAACCAACCACCCACCTGTGGTTGGTTTCACATCAGTGTGAAAATGTACCCTCATCAACCCCCCACAGATCTGGAGGGAGCACAGTCCCTTGTGTGCAGGCCCTGACACTAGTCTGCTGGCCACCAGACCCTTCTGAGTCAGGGGTGGGGCAGAGCAGACAGCACCACAACTCAGTAGCTCATACCAAGCCTACCAATGTAATTCATTACCCACCTTCCCTTTCTCAGATGCTATCTTCTTGCCCCTCCCTTCTAAATACTATCCATAGACTTCTTCCTTAGAGAAGGAGCACACACTCTACAGCTGTGGTTCCCTATCTTGACTGTACATAAGATTTGTCTGGGAACCTTTAAAAGTCCTGCTGCCCGGCCCATGACAGACTAATCCCTGGGAGTGGGCCTGGGCAGCAGAAGTCTACAGGCTCCCAATGTGGATACAACAAACCCAAAGTTGAAAAATGTTGGGATTCCTGGGTGGCTCAGTCAGTTAAGCCTCTGACTCTTGATTTTGGCTCAGGTCATGATCTCTCACAGTCACGAGATGGAGCCCTGCTCCACTGAGTGTGGAGCCCACTTGAGATTCTGTCCCTCTCTCCCCCTCTGCCCCTCCCTCACTTGTGTGCTCTCTCACACATGCTCGCTCTCTCAAAAAAATTAGAGAGAGAGAAAGAAAGAGAGAAAGAGAGGAAGGAAGGAAGGAAGGAAGGAAGGAAGGAAGGAAGGAGAAAGAAAGAAAGAAAGAAAGAAAGAAAGAAAGAAAGAAAGAAAGAAAGAAAGAAAGAA